ATGACAGTAATAATAATGATAATGATAATGATATCGATAATGACAAAAATAATCATAAGAATGATAATGGTAATAATAGCATCAACAACAATAATGCTAATAATAATAATGTTAATAATAATAACACTAATAATAACAAATATGATAATAATAGTAGTAATGAGTATTATGATAATGATATTGTTAATAGCAACAGCAATAAAGATAATAGTTTTGATAATGATAATAATAGTGATAATAATAATGATAATAACAGTAATAATAGTAATAGTAATAATGACAATAATAATGATGATGATAACAATAATATTAAAAATGATAGCAACAATATTAATAATGACAATAATATCAACAATAATAATATAATAACAACAATCATACCGACAATAAAAAAATGATAATGGCAAAGCAATTATTGTGTCTGATGGGCACAGTGACAAACCAAGTACCAAGGACTGTGCTCATAGGGGAGGTTAGGTGGCCCATTTTGCGTAACAGTGCACTCCATTTCCAGCATGGCATTTTAAACCCAGAAAGAAGAATTCCTCTTTAACGAGCAGAACAAACAGAAATTCATTGCCTTGTTGTATCAGAGGTTAGAAAAATCAGGGTTTGAGATCCACCAGGCAATAGGGGACGTCGACATTCTATTGTGCAAACGGCATTAACATCAGGAGCTTAGAAAGAAACTGTTCTGGTCGAGAACGAAACAGACTTATCGGGCATAACGTCTTCAGACCACACGTCTGATGTTTACGGTTTGGGCTAGAAACTATCAATCTCAAAGATCAAAACTGAGAGTCAGTTCCAAGATCAGGCATAGTTTTCATGCGCCAAGGAGCCAATGAAGATGACATCATCTCAGCGGGTGAAACAACCTTAGTTTGCCTGTACAATGGCAACCCTTACCATGTTATCAATGTTTTCAGGCATGAGAAATTTTGTATGCAGCCTGGTGCACTGCCTACGTCGGGTTCAGTCAAATACCACAGGCTATCTAGGGTGAATCCCTAGACAGCCTTGCCGACGGTCTGGCCAGCTACAGCTTTGACTGGTCAGTTGACCTAACTCCGGCGAGCTGTCTTAGTGATCTCTCAAGATAGAAGAAGACTAGGTGTGACCCTAGTATTTAGTGTCGTCATCAGTCAGATCCAGGCAATGGTTAAGTGTGTTAAAATCGTCTTCTGCTAAACTCCTGGCGGTTAGAAAGTGCCCGTCTAAACTGGGGTTAGAAAGTCAGTACAGGGAACTTTCTGCCAATCATGACCGATCTGCAACCTGCTCCTAAGAAGTTGGTAGAAGTCTGGCTGCGATACCATACCTGTTTCCTGCAGGAAGCGTGGGATGCCTTGCTCTACTGTTTGTTCCAAGTGCAGGGGTGTATGTGCTTCTACTCTCAGTGACATTGATTCTGAGTTTGACGAGGGTACCTA